ATTAATTCAGAAAATATTTTCAGGACCCCACCTTGATGTTTCAGGACCCCACTGTGGGTCCCGACCCCATCTTTGGGAAGAACACAAGACAGATTTTAAATCTTAATAGTAACGTATTTTCAATACTTGAGCAGTGATCCTAAATGCTATCAAATGAATTATATTATCAGCTAAAGCACAGGATATTATTTTTATAATGTGGGACAAGCTGAAGTTTAGCTGTTTTTAGCCTCTTTCATTACACCCGCAGCTATAGGCTGTATTTATTTCACATGCTAACATGCTAACACTGGTAGCTTGTAGGGGTGAAACAATACATGTATCTGTATGGATCAATACACACTGTGTATGGATCAATACACACTTTGTATATATCAATACACACTGTGTATGGGTCAATACACACTATGTATGAATCCATACACACTGTGTATGGATAAATACACACTGTGTATGGATAAATACACACTGTGTATATATCAATACACACTGTGTATATATCAATACACACTGTGTATATATCCATACACACTGTGTACATATCAATACACTCTGTGTATGGATCAATACACAGTGTGCATATATCAATACACACTGTGCATATATCAATACACACTATGTATGGAACAACACACACTATGTATGGAACAACACACACTATGTATGGAACAACACACACTATGTATGGAACAACACACACTATGTATGGAACAATACAGATTTTTAACATTTATTGTATCAGCTTGTTGAAGGATCAGTGGATCTGTGTTCGACTACTCCTCCTAGGCTGTATTGTCGATCACAGAACCACTGAGAAACTTGCTGTTTCAGTCACATTTAATTTAAAAACTGGACTTTTGAGGTTAAACAAATGTTCAGAATTAATTTCAATAAATTACAAGTGAAGAAGGACATGTACTTTCTCTTTTTGTACTGGAAAAATATCAAACTGTGAGAATAAAGTATTGAAAGAGATGGATGTTGGATTATCAACCGGATCAAATGTACAACCAGCTGATGTCGTCATCTTTTTAACGAGCATTAAAGTTTATTCAAAAGTTTGCTTATTCCCCCCTCATCCACCAGGAAGGGTTGGTGCTGTTCAGCGTTTCATGTGACCAGAAGGAGAGAAATGCTGAAATAGACTTTTTTGTTACTGAGTCCAGGTTAGCTCTGTAGCTAATTTTAGCTTCTGGGCTAAATCAAAGCGCCGAGGAGAAACTTTTTGTGTAACTCATGTATTTTTACAGATATTGAGCTAAAACCTGGTGAGAGTTCCTCTAACGTTAGGTTTAATAAAACCAACTCTTGTTTCTCCTCCCTGGAGGATCTTAGCAGTTGTTTTTTGTGCGTCTGAGTTTTTAGGCATCATCTGAACTGTGTCCTACTTGGTGAGCAGATTCGGTTGTTTTTCTGTAATTGGTGGCCCGGTTTCCTCCCTTCATTGTTTTTCACTTCTTTAAACGATCTCACCACGTAGTTTCCTCTGAATCCACCCCAAACCCTGCATAGGGTGGAAAGGAAACGGTTTCTTTACATCTTTATGGAGTTATTTATCTTGTTTTATTAACGGTTAGTCTGAAAATAAACCTGAATTCTTCCATGTTTGTTGTCAAAATCAAGCTAAACACAATCAGTCATCGACGACAACATGAACTTAACAAATAATCAGACAACTTTAGTGACTTTACAATGGATTTTATTCAGTTTACCTGAGCAGGAAGTAACCTCAGGTGACCTCAGCCGGACTCCAGAATCTGTCGGTTTGATTCTCTACGTCGCGTCTCGACTCGCAGGTGGACGGAGAGCAGCCGGAGCTCCCGCAGCATTGAAAGGGTTACCATAGCGACCACGTGTTTACGTCTGCCTCCCAGCAGCTTTGGCACGGAGAGACAGTTTCCATGGCAACAGCCTTGATACCCCCCCTCAGTCCAACGGGAGACGAGGCCGCTGAGCTGGGTGTGTGTTTGTGTTCCCGTTTCTCTGTCCTCATCAGGGTGTGTTTCTGAGCTGGTTGGTGTCACTGGGTGTTCTGGGTCCAGATGTTGTGTTCTGGGTCCAGATGTTGTGTTCTGGGTCCAGGTGTTGTATTCTGCGGTCCAGGTGTTGTGTTCTGGGTCCAGATGTTGTGTTCTGGG